ATGAATCCTACTGACTGTGGTGATTGGAATTTTATGACTTTTGTCATAGACATTCATGTCACCCTCAGGATGAATTGCAATCACCTTTGTGATCCATTTCATTTATCAAAAAGTTTGGTTTATGACCAAATACCTGCAAAACTAATGACATTCCCATCATTCTCAGCTGTGCTTTGTGTTTAGTGCTAATTAGCAACTGTCAGACACCTAAGGAAAGCTGTATATTAGAGATTAAAATGGAGGATATCTGTGTATTTTAACACTAGAGTTTCCAGGTCAAGACAAATCCTTGATAAACAAAAATCAATTTCTAACTGAGCTCCGGGAAGCTGATGCCATTCAGGTGCAAAAGCATGTCTGAAAACTCTATTTATCTATTCAAAGAAACCAAATTTGAAAACATGCTGTTATCACTCATGAATTGCTGTGAATGATTATGTCTAATCAATCACCCCCCCTCTCCGGAATCAGGAGGGATTTTTGGTGCAAAATGTCTCTGAGCTCTCATCATACTGACAGGAAAAACAAACTGGAGCATTTATATAGGTATAAATATATATTGTCGATGATTGAAGGAAAAAATTCTTTCCACTGCTTATTTTCAAGTAAATATAGTGATTTACAGAATGACCTGGGTTTTATTCAGAAGTAGGTTTTGTTGTAAATGACAGCTATGAGAGAAGAAATGTTTTCTCAGGTGACCATGACCCAGCTTGATGGGGTCATCTTTTTCTCTGCGAGTCCGTCTGTAGATTTAGATTTTAGATTGCAGCTGCAGACGAGACCATTTTAAAGTTATAATATTGTGCAATAGTGAAAACAAACACATTATATTAGAACAACGATATTTATACGGAAATGGCTTTATTTAGATAATGTTTTAAATGTGTATAGTAGAACAAAATAAAAGCAAAAAGAAGGGAGAAAGACTTTGATCTAAAAATACCAGTAAAATAAAGATAAAGGCCATGAATATATGAGTTTTAAATGTTTAAATATCATAATTTTTGGGAAATGTACTAACCATGTTGGATTTATTTTAATATTTTTATTTGACAAAATAATATATAGTAGTTTATATAATAGTTTTAATGTGATCCAGACCTGACAGATATATTGACCTGGCCAATATATCATCAGATTTTATGTTATCACAGATAACAGACTTAAGAATAAAGCACCATAAAATAGAAATAAATTAGAATAAGAGTAAATAGAAGAATTACTTAAAGAAAAGCCTAAAAAGGTGCGTCTTTATCAAAGCTGTCCACAGTGTGCACAGATCCTAAGTCCAAAGGAAGAAGGAGTCAGTTTAAATGGCACAACCTCAAAAGCACAGTCTTTTTTAGTTTTGAGCCGGGATCAATGTAAAACAAACAAGCCCTGATCAGAGAACCATAGAGACCTGCTGGTATTATAGAGTGGCAGTAGATCTATAATGAAGGCAGGTGACTGACCATGCAGAGCTCTGTAAGTTATCACAATAGCCTTGAATGGGATTCTGAATTTGATGGGGATCCAGTGAAGAGAAATTCAAATTGGTGTCACTTGAGACCTTTTTGGAGCTCTGATCAAAAGCTTAGCAGCATTTTGGACCACATGTAAACGATACAGAGATGCTTTGCTGAGGCAGGGGAAGAGAGCGTTTCAGTAGTCAAGAGGGGATGAGATAAAAGCGTGAATTATTTCCATCTCCACTTGAGGCACAATGGGACTGAGGTCTGCAGTGTTTCTCAAATGAAAAAAACAGGAACGAATCAAACACTTGACATGTTGGTCCAGTCAGAGTCTGTTTCATAGTAGACAAGACTGGGTGGAGCAGAAATAAGAACATCTGTTTTGTCAGCATTGGACTGTAGGAAATGGTCAGATATCCAGTGTTTAGGCAGTTATTTAAAACTAATTATTAAAGGATGTAAAGCTGAATATCATCCGCGTTAAGGGACATATTGTCTGTCCAAGACGAACCAAATGCACAGTAAACAGTATCGGTGTTAAAAGTTACACTGAGATCCAACAGAACTCTCTCCTGCACTCTCAAAATATTATTTCAGACTCTGCTAACAGGAACCAGACTGATACTTGTGTGTTGCCAATTTGTCCACTTTTTTTCTAGTGTAAACTGTCTTTTAGATTCTGTACATGTGTAAAACTGTAACAATATTCTTTTTGTGAAATAGCCTTGAGTCCAGGTGAAGTTGCTCTGCTTTCAGGTGCTCTTCTGTCCTTTCCCTTGCTTCCTCATACTGCAATATTCTGCAATGCAGCAATAAATCTGTTGAAAAGACTGAAAGCATACCACCCTGACTACAAATGAGTCCATGGGCCTGAAAGATGACTTCACATCTATACTTTAATGAATGTTTTCATTCAGGATCTTCAGGAGGATTCAGCCCATGCTTTCCTACAGTACCACTTCCAAAAACTGGTGACAGGAGAGGGGCTTAATGAGACTGATGTTCTGTGTATGTTTGTGTGTGTGTATGTGGAGCAAACACACACACACGCATAAACGTGTGTTTATAGAGGAATGGATTGAGGATAAAATAAGACAGAAAATAAGGTTTAATTGATCCCATCATCTAAGCATGACACTCGAATACAGCCACAGAAGCGACGATAGAAAACCTTTTCCTGACTGAGTAGCATTTCTAGATACCAACCTCCTGCTCCACATGCTTTCTTCTACACATCAGGGCCCGCATATGATAACATTTCATCGTAATTGGCTGCGTTTACATGCACAGAGCAACTGTTGGTCACATTGTGGTTAAGGTCTGGGATTTAAAGGGGTTAAGCTGTTTACATGAACCTCTGTTTCCTACACATGTGAATAAACCATGATTAAATCCCACAAATAAACCAGATACAAGACTGTTTCTGGTGCTCCTGTTTCTGGTGTGTTTGGCAGAGAAAAAAGCAGGTTATTTCTAATACAGGGGATAATAAACTGGATGTTCTTACTGTAATGCCTTTCCAGTCATATCACCTATAATGTCCTTGACTATGGCAGCTTACGTAAGCAGTCCACAAAAGAAGCAAAAGAAATCCAGCAAGACATCAACAACGAACAATAAGCGCAAAGAATGAGCACAGTCCCATAGAGGATAGATAATCAATATTAATACAAATGAATAATGGAAAGCATATTACATCACCACCTGAAAGGTCTCAACTCTAAATGGACCTATTTTATTGCTTTCGTCATTACAGAGTCAGGAGTTAAAAACAAGAAGTACAGAAAGAAAATATGAAAACAAAAGTTGCAAAGGACAAAAAGGTAAAACACCTACCTGCAACCAACCCCCGACTCCAGCATGACAGAAAACAAACCCACAAACTACACAAACAGTCCAGCTACACAATATACTTTGAATTTTGAAATTAAATACAATTGGAATTGTTATTGATAAATGTAATCTGGTAAGAAGCAAAATGTTCAGACTAGCATAACAGTAAAATGTTCTCTGACAACTACAAGTATCTGCTCATATGATTACCCCAACATAATCAAACTTTTTTAGGCACTCACTGTGCTTGGTTACGGTTGGGGAAAGACCATGGTCATATTTCATATAGAAAAAGGCTGCAGCCCGAGACAATGCACACAAAACATTAATATCTAAATGAAAAGAGATGATTTATTCCGGATTTAGCTATTAGCTCATTTCCATCTGCAGTCCCTTGTAGGTGCAAACAGAACAGTCACCAGACGCTAAAAACATTCATGTATGCAGCATCATTACATAGTCTCTATCACAGATAAACAGAGTTATACAGACACACATCAATATATAAACACCAGCACATACATCCAATTTAACTTGACTTGTTGCTCAATTTTTTAGCACAATGGGGAAAAAGAATGAAAGTTTGTATAAGGTTTAAGCTCAGTCGGGAGTATATTCTGGTGTTTGATGGCAATAAATGAAAAAGTAGATTGTGGAAACGCAGGCCGCCACAGTAGGATGTTTAATGTCGAGTGGAGCTTAAAAAAAGCTCTTCAATGGTGGAGAAGTCTAATCTAATACCTATTGAACTTCTGAAAACAGAATGAGATTTTCAAAACTTCAGAGATTGTATTTGGACAATATGTTGCAGTGATTGTGGTTTAATGATTTCCTCTTTTAAGGCTTTTTAAAAAAATAATCTCAGCACAATCTTACGGGCCTGGGACCGGCAGGGTTTACAATAATGTATGTAATAATGTATTATCATTTAACCAAAACCACAATTTCTTAATCAGGATCCAAACATTCAACTGCCTCCCTGCGACTCTCGTGTAATACATAAATAAAAACATTAAATTAGTAGAGTTAGGAAATGTAAAACATAATGGTCTGTGCATGTTAATATTTCTTCATATGACACGTTACCTTAATTGGAGCGTGTAAATCTTTGTTTGTGGTTGGATGAGTGACAAGATGTGGATCAGAATGTCAATATCTGTAACAGCCAAGTGCCTTTCTGCAGGCACAGATAATGCATGAGTCAATAATGGCTCACATCAGTGGGCGACAGCCATACAGCAGTTTGTGGAGGTTTTCTACTTGTTTGCAGTGACCCAATAAGCCAGTATATGAGGTCACTGACAATGTCACTGAACGTCTCAAAGCAGCACAACATGGAGTTTTGGAGGAGTGTTAAACTAGCGCGTTGAGCAGATAAAAGGGAAATACTACCCGAGATTGGCTTTGACCTCTATATCTTTTCGATCTCCAGGTAACCTTTCCAAAAACTGCACACCGGAAGGGTGGACTGAGATGCATCCTTATGACATCGCCATGAACTGTGGATACAATCTCAACAGCACAAGTGATGATGTGAGTAAATGGCCGCAGTCTATAAGAGGTAGCAGAACAGACACCCAATTGTCCAATTGTGAATGAACTCAGCAGTGCAGTGCGAAACCATCTTGAAAACCAGTGGGCAGGAAGAATTTAATTAGAAAATCTTTTCTTTTCTCCGTGGGTGGTGTTGTCGGATCTATCAGGAAAATAGCTGTATTGATTGTTTCATGACTCTAGTGTTTGACTGTTCTATGCCTTCATTCAATCCTTTTTCTTATGAATGTTCACAAAGAACACAACTGAATATACAGCATAATACTCTATATACGCTGTTTGTATGCTCATGGTAGTGATTGTAAAAGTGTTTTAATCTAAATTATTGTTGTACTTCTTGGAATAAACAACATGTTTTTGTAGACACCTTCAGAAGTTAATTGAAATCTGTTGCTACGTTTTATTTAAAGAGTAATTGTAAGACATTTGCTTATTGTCAGATGAGTGTTAGATGAGAATAATACCACTCTGATGTCTGCTGTCAATTAGATTAGCCTAGTTTAGCACAAAGTCTGGAAGCAGTGGGAAACAGCTAGCCTGACTCTGTCTAAAGTTCAAAAGTACCATACGGTGACCAGATGACCTGGTTTGATCTGGGGCTCTTCCAGTTTCAAGCTGAGTGTCTTGAGTCCCGACAAATATCTGTAAAACACAATTAAAATCATTTTTAAGTTAGGTTTTCTCTGTTCTAAATATTAATATTTGCTTCTCTTTCACCAGTTTAACACTAACTTTGTCTGCCTGGGCTGTGAGACTGAGGAGAACTGCAGAGTCATTATAATTATCAGTTGGTTGGTACTGCGAGTGACTCATTTCACATTGCACACTCTTGATCCGGTGTTATTATAAAAAATATTGATTATAGCCAGCCACTTAAACCCACAGACAAGAAAGTGGTATTGAACTCCCGGCAAGAAAGTGAATAAGCACATTTCAAAAATATCAATTTATTGTCCTTATGTAAAGAATTCATGAACTAATAATAAAAAATACCCTGCGTTAAAGGTGAATATACCAATACATCAATGTCACTTCATTGTTTGCTGCAGCAGGCAAATGTCTTTGAAGAAGAGCACAGTTGATTTTCATCGGCAATGTTGGGCTCCCTCCTCTATTATCAGGCATTATGAGTCATTAGAGGTTATTCATGTAGCCTTCAGGGTAAGGAGGGGAATAAATACATCAAATGTAGGTCTTATCCAGTTTAATGCAGAGAGAACTAATCTTGTCTGTGTTGATGAAGGTGGAGCAGGGTAAAAAGTGGATGTACTCTACCTGCTGGTAAAAGCTTTCTGGGTGGGCACACTCTGCTCTGTGAGTCACAGAGGCGGCCTCATTAGTATGCCACATAAGAAGTCAGGGGGGACCCGGCTGGTGAAGTACTCTAAAAGGAATTTGATGTCCGTCTTTCTGCATACTTGATAGCTCCGTATGCCACAGGATGCAAAGCTCTTAATCTCATTTTCATCAAGCACAAAACATACAGTGCCATGGCAGCGACATTGTGAAGCTACTCTGAAAGGTTTCATGTGCTGAAACCAGTGAAATCCAGCTATTCCAGGATATTAGACGGCAACAGCCGTTAGCTTAAAGTGCGTCAGAGGATCCAGTTGTATTGATTCTTATTTTAGAGGAATAATTGTGGTTGAAGGAATCACTTAAATGTCATTGGAGTCAGAGCAGGGGAATTATCTTACTCTTAGAAGGTTTTTCATTACATTCATCACAATTCAAAGAGATTAAGAAAGATGTGGTGTCCTTCGCTCTGATGTTACTCTTGACTCTTTTTTCTTGGAATACAATATTACACTGTAAGAAAACAAGTCAAGTCGAGTTTATTTTTGTTTTGTTTGATACCTTTTTCATTACCCATGATGGGGTTAGTGGAAAAAGTACAAGCAAGTATTTTCAGAAAAGTGCACTAAGAATATCAAAGTAAAAGTACTTGTTCTGCAAAGAAATTGCCCCTCTGGGTAACGTATCATTACTGTATACAGTATTTTAGATTAATGAATTGTTAATACTGATCAATATGTAAGTAACCTTTCACTGTTGTTGTTGTTACATGATTTAATATGTACCAATGAATTTCGTTTTTATAACCTTATGCGTTTTTTAATTTAAAATGCAGGCATTAAGGTGCGAAAAATAACAATATAGAAAGAGCCAATCTTCTCGCTGATGGTCTTGTTTGTTTATGTAGGTCATACATAGACATCTGTATTAAATTGAGGCTGGTCAATAATAAGTTAAAAGCTCCCGGTAGGTTAAGTACAATACTTCTATAAATGTACTGACCCTGAAGTTTTGCAGGCACAGAAGCTATTTTATTTCAAATATACAAAATAAAAACTATAATTTTAACCTTCTGAGTCTGTTTCCTTCACTCTGACTTGTATTGATGTTTTTTTTTCTCCTTCAGGGCAAGTTTTTCTGGCAAGTGAAGATTGGCTACACCATCGGCCACAGTGTTTCCCTCATATCTCTCACCACAGCTATTGTGATCCTCTGCATCTTCAGGTATGTAGACGTGCAGTAAGACACACTCTACACATGATTTGAAATAGGCATCATCACCATCACCTTTCTCAACCTATGTAGAGAAAGTTTGAAAAGGAAACAAAAATGTCTTTTACTCCGCTGTGAACAGTGCTGCAGCTCAAGAATTTGCATTGTTGACTTTGCATAATTCCTGATAGATAAACCTGTTTCCTGGCCTCATAGGGTCAGTTGTTTATAAAAAAGATAAAAGGATGGAAAAAGAACAAAAACAGTCACTGCTGCAGGACCCCTGTGTAGAGCATTAGTTTGAGCATTTTACCATAAAGCACACTGACATTGACATTATTCTTGCTGGGCAATATGAACATGACAGTTTATACATCAAACCCTCTGAACTGGGATTTGATCAGTGCAGCTTCACACCAGGCAGAAATACAAGGCTTGTGTTAAACGGCGAGAGACAGGATGAGAGATATAAGTAATTCAGAAATAAATAGGTTGTCAATCAAACTTGATAGTACTTTCAATCATTTCAGTGTCTTGATCTTTTGATGGCTCATATCTGCAGCGGTTTGAAGATCATATAGGCTGAACTATAGTGATATGTATATATAAAGTCAGGAATTGAATGTAAGCTCTTCAAAGACAATTGCAGTTTTGATGTCAAGAGTGACTGAGTGATTGCAAATGGTTTACTCTAAAGGCCAATGAATGGACAATATATATCTGCATTATTCACATAATACTGAGAAAGTAATTCACAATACAAACGTTTAGTCTCTGCTGGAATTACTTCTACAGAAAGGGACATTATAGATATATTTACACTTTTCATACTTGTCCTATGTGTATATTCTGTGTTACCTGTTTCAGCCCAGTTTAAAACAGCTGTTTTGAATTGTTTTAGATTTTAAAATCTAGAAAAAACTATTTTAAGGATAAATGATCATCAGTTATTGTGATTTTTGGGGGGTAAAAAATAAATTAGGCTTACTGGGCTGTACTGTAATGTTTTTTACAGGAATATATTGCCAACAAATTCTTATTAGTTATTACAGATATGTACTGCACATTTGTTTTAAGTAAATTAAACTAAACTGTAATTAAAAAACAGTAATAATATGGTTATTAATTATAATATAGAAAGTTTACTGTAAACAAAAACACACTAATGACAAATGCAAATACTGTAAAATACCTTTTTACAGTTTTACAGCATAGATTCTTCTTCATTATTGGATGCAGTTTCTCTACCTCAATTGTACAAGCTTGAACTTTCAGCATCCAAGAATGTTACAAGAAGATAGGAAAAGAAATGTATTTCTAAAAGAAGATGGACGTTCTCAGTTTGTGTATACATGTATTCTTTTGTAGCGCATTTTGTCTCCGAACACACTGTAAATATGCTATTCGCTCTGCCGTAAAAATCCCCAGCTGTGAAATCATTCCTCTTGTTACAGGAGCCCTGTGTTCTCACTTCATCTCCTTGAATTCACAGCCAAAGTAATGTGATTCAAATTTCCTTTCATCCATCCAGCAATCCATTCTCTCCTGTATACCCTCTAATTTCTGTTCAAGACCATTGTGAGGGAGGAAAACCCTTTTTTCTCTTATTGCTTTCTTTGTTGTATTTTTCATGTGCCTCCTAGACAGTCTGTCCCTGCCACTGTTGTTCACTGTAACATTGTGTTAGTCACAGATCAGAGGTACTTTTCATGTTTTCCACAAAGACCTGCACTAGGTGTCAAAGTGTGTCCACCGGAGAGTTTTCTTCGCCCTTATGCAGCCAGTGCCACAAGGCAGGCCAAAGTCAGGTTGATAAAAAGTGTGAAAGTGTGAAATCAAGGCAACCAACAGGTTTGAGCCTGAAGGAGAGTAATGACAGGGCAGTGGGAGGCGAGGGTAGCTGAGGGATAAAGTACAGTGAGGGGTATTAATGAGGGTTAGTGGGATGAGGAGTCACACCTGTTTCTAAAAGACACCTCAGATTACAGGCAGGAGCAAACATACGAGAGTAAGCTTAAAATGTTCACTAGAAATGTAATTGTTCATCAAAATTGTGTCTCCAAAACAAGACAACAGCCATTTTTGGCATTTGCTGACAGCAGATCAGGTTGATATATTGCAGGGAGTAATGGAACGAGAAGGAGAAGTGAGCTGTTAGATGAAGAGCTGCAGGAGGCTGGCTGCACAACTTCACAACTGCTTTCACATTTGCTCTTCACAGACTGATGCCGTGTGCAGCATAAAATCAGCTCATGGTTGCTTACAGAGTGATAAAATGAGGCCAATTATCGCAGACTTCTTTATTAAAACGACAATAGTGTAAACAAATACACCAGTGGCTCGTGTGTTGTAGTTGCACAGCGGTTGCCATATCCTTTAGGATTTAAACCTTCAACGTCCATTGTTGAATATCTTCAGGGACATTATGTTGTGAATGCTATATATATATACAGTATATTATTGTGTCCCATGAGGGATGAGTCATATAAATGTCCACACACAAAAGATAATTAATTCTTTTATAGTTTCAGCAGTGCAGCCTTAGAAGAAAATGTTTGTATTGTTGTAGTAAATGTACTGATTATGAGCAGAAATGGAAGTTCATCTCTTGGTGGAAAATTACAGCCCGTGGTAACAAATGTCATCTTCACAACAACAGCACAGTGATGAAGATTTGATCTCACATTTGCCCCCAAAATACAAAAACAACAACCCCTCCCAGATGATTAAACATGTGGTACTTCATTACTTTCCTTATGCTGAGCTCTCTCCTCTTCCAGTATGTGTCCGACCAGTTAGACTGTGATTTTGTTCATGCACAAAAATGCTCTAAATATAAAAAAATTGTCTAGAAATGTCCTTGTTTACACTTCGGTAGCAACTCAGAAAAACAAGCATTTATTGAAATAACAGTCACAGTTTGCATCAAGGACCAAATTTGGATAACAGCATATAACAGTTGTCATTTTAAACAGCTGCTAACAAGCTCTCCTGGCTGTGAGATACGGTTATACAAAACTTTAATGATTCCCAAGGAGGTAGTAAGTGATTAGGCATGAGCTGCATCACTGCTGAAAAAAAATTCCCCCGACACGGGAACGAGCATCGCCGCCATAAACAAATGATCAGAGCTAATGGGAATCTTGACACAAGTGCAGACGTTTGTGCCCCTCTCACTCCCTAATCATTTAATCTTCTCACATATAATAATGTAATCAGGAAGTCAAGAAGTATTCAAAAACTGACGCTTGAGGATTTCAAAATGTTTCTGATTAGTCACCATAACTAGCAATCGTTGTGCTTTAAAGCAGATCCATCCGCACAGAGATAAAAGGAACTAATGAGCTTAATTATGAGTTAAGTCAGTCTGTGATTTGATGTCATTTTAAGCTATTAACTCCAAGGACATTGGATAATTAGCATGAAGGCCCTCTTTATTAAATTGTGTGTGTCTCTTTGTCTTGATCTGTGTGTCTCTTTCTTTGTGTCCTAGGAAGCTCCACTGCACAAGGAACTACATCCACATGCATCTGTTTGTGTCATTTATCCTGAAGGCCATCGCTGTGTTCATCAAGGATGTTGTCCTCTATGAGGTCGGGGAAGTGGACAACTGCTCCTCAGGCTCTGTGAGTTAATTATCCAAGACGCTGCTGTTTGCTGTGGGTGTTTTGAGATGGACAACTCAGGAATTCTTAGTGTCCTTGAAACCCTAATGAAGTCAAACTCTCTAAGATGCTCAGCAGGTGGATATGACACTCAGGATGTGCATGTGTAATGCAGAGCTGGTAGGTTAATTATCCACATTGAACCATCAAATGAGAAGATTTCCTCAACTCAGATGGGATGAAAAGATGGATTTCTGTAGTGCTGATGTTTGACAGGAGACAAGAAGGGAATGTAAGTGGTTCGGTCAGACGAACACTTTCATTATTACAAATAAGGTCACTACATATTTTATTTGATGAAGGTTTATAGTACATATGAGCTTCAAGCGTGAGTGAATTACTGTATGATGATGATTCAGTTTTATTTATTGCATTTGTAAATATTCTGTTTTATTATTTGTGGGAATTGTTTATTAGAGTCTGACCAATACTGGACTTCTGAGGCCAATCAGAAAGACTGGAAACAGGGAAACTGCCCTGGTGCCTCAGACGTATCTGGCTCTAGGTCTTGTTTGCGTTTGTGTAGCACAATAGTTGCTGACATAATAAGGGCCTGAAGGTGGATCCCAATTTATTATCTGACCTTGAGACCCTGTCTTGAAGAGGCTTTCTGTGTCAAAATCTAGTCTTAAGACCCTGTTTTGTGCTTGTGTGTTGCGCATTTCTAAAATAATGTGTTTAATCAAATATATTCTAGATATTCCAGCAAAGAAGAACTGTACAGAAAGAGGAAGCAATGGGGGGTTAATGAGGTTCCCAGCAGGAGCCCTTTAGCTGGTTAATCCAACCATGCTTATCACATATTTATATATTAAATCCTGTTTAAAATAATCAGATAAAAGTATATTTGCTCTTCAGCAGTTTTAACTAAAACATGTAAAATAGAAGATTTAGTATCTTAGCATCTTTACACAGGCTTTTGAATTGATTTAAAAAGCTCCGAATGGTTTAGCCTCTTAGTCGACTGTCTCTCCCTCTTCCTTAGTTCATCAAATACCACAGTGCAAAATATACCAACAGTTAAGACAAAAACTTAAAGAGAGCCTTTTCTTATTATGGACTAAAACTGTGAAACGGCGTGGCTATAAATATCTCATGTGACAAATATCTATGTATCTCTAAGTATGGAGAAAGATCGCAGTGGGAATTTCTTTTCTGAAATTCCTTTGCGTTCCCTCGTAATACATTTCACATTCTGATTGATTTGATGATTTGAAAACACAAATAAGACTGCGCTGCAGATTACAGATTATTTCTGTTGTGGTCCTCACAAGATAGAACAACAATAACAACAGGACAGCAAGCAAAGACAATACAGTCAACATGTTAAATATCAGGCAGGGTGGTAGCTACTGTACATTGACACGCTATTATTTCTGGTAAATAAAAGTTTGTTACAAATTTCCATGTAATGCTACGTGGTACTTTGTAATAATTTCTTTAAGGCCACTTTAAGTGGTAACAAAAAGTTGTGTAGTAGTGAGAGATAATTAATCAACTATTTTGGTACCATAGATTTAACGATAAGTGAGCAGCATCTTAATATAAATGGTTATTTTTTCCACTGTTGACCAGTTAAGCTTTTTAAAATGTGCCAGATGAAGATGTGTACATGGATGAACTTTTAGTATAACCCTTATTGCAATAGGTTTTGCATTTCCTCTGATCCATAGATAAAGGCTGGGCTGTGTTGTGATATGATATTAAGGTTAAAGGTTCAAGTTTATACATATAAATATAAATAATAATTAAAGAAAACATTAAGTGTATTAGACCCAGCACTGGTTAGTACCACAGTGTGAGTGGGCACACCTTCCCATGTGGAGATCGATAGACAGATTTAACATAGCTCTCTCTGACTGCTGCTGAAGCGGATTGAGATGGACTGCAGCTGTAATTACGACTCCATGGAATTGTGGCTTGCCTGTAATTGTGGCTGAAGACATGCTTTGGTTGTTCTGATTATGGCTGTAACACTAACTACATGCAGGGGATACGTGTGTGCACTGAATTGACATGGTTGTGTCCTGAAAACATCTGTCATATATCTGATATAAGCACTGTGGGTTCAAATCCCGTGTGATTCTACCACAGTTGCAGCTGTGCCCACATCCACACAGCCACAGCTACACGACCACCACAGCTGGGTGGAGCAGCAGCTGCAGCTGAGCTCTCAGTGTTCCCTGTCGCAGCTCAGCCTTTTGAAAGGAGTAATGAGCAATAAATGCATAAATGTAAAGTGTCACATCAGCTCTCTATTCTATAGCATCTGAAGAGCGTTTCACTGTGACCTCTCTGGGGCCCCGTACTTATCTTCTAATTTAGCTTTTAAGTAGTTTTTTTGTTCCCGTGCCTATTTTACTGAATCATACTGAAATGTGTGTGTAAGTTTATTGTATTTCATTTCATTTAATGTTTATTTTATAGGGACAGATACAGTTTCCGTAGAAAATTGCATTACAATTACCCAATGCCGTGTATGACAGCATTTATAGCTACAGCTAATTTCCAATGCCAGTCCCTAGAAGGGCCTTTAAAATAACAGACATAAAACATAATTGGCAGACAGCAAAGTTAAACAAACTGTGGTACAATTTGTTGACCTTGCAGGAGCAGCACACGCCGGCATCTATTTTTAACATATTGGCAATTTTGGTGTGTTTTAATATCAGTGGCAGTGTATTCCATATATAAGCTCCCTTTATAGAAAGGTATGTCTGGCCAAAAGAGGCATTCTGGTACAATACTTTTTTTATTGTTTGTGCAGCCTTTTAAAACTTTTAACTAACATTTCTAAAAGAAGCTATAAGATAATTATTTTTTTAACATATATATATATACAACATAACACAACCAACGTTTCTTATAAGGATGCTTTAAAGAACTGCGACCAATATACTGAATGGGACATTTTGGACTGTTCAGGCTTCGTTGTTTACTTATTTTGCACATTATTTTTATATCTGGATTCTTGCATATATTAATTACTGTGAAGTTAACTGCACATGAGCAGTTAGTAATAAGACCAAAAAACGCTTACTCTAATTGATTATTTAGGATAGTTCAAGCAATAGTTCCACATTTTGAGGAATACACTAAATTTCTTGCAGAGAATTAGATGAGAATATCAATACCACTCTCATGTATATCAGTGAAATATTAAGCTACATCCAGGAGACAGTTAGCTTAGTTACATTTAACGTGTAAAAACAACAAGTTGTGGTTTTACATGTTGGGCTATTTCTAAGCTGAATGCAGTGACTTCAGGAAGTTACTTTCCCAAAATGTCAAACTATTCCCTTGAGAGTGGAACCAAAAAGGCTTCAGACCTCGTAACATATAAGAATGGTATAATAAACAGGTCGGATGTTTCCAAGTATTCTGGGAGAAGCTTGAGAAAGCTTAAGCATCGTACTCAGACAACCTCTGCCCTTCCTCCAAGTGATTGACAACAAAAACAAGACAATTACAGAATATTTAAATACAATTCGAAACCTGCTGACAAAAACTGTTCACCTGAAAAACTGCTAGTTTAAGACAAACTGCATTAGACAGTAGCGGAAGATGTTAAACCCATGGAACAAAACTGCTTGGAGTTACATCGAACCTCAATGTTTAGACGTCTTCCCATCAGTTCTCCACCACCAGCACATACCGCTGAATTCAGCCCAGAGGCCCCTGAGGCCACAGTTAAGGCCTGCGAACAGGAGGTTTATGTTACATGATGTGGCCACACAAAAACAGGCGCCTCAGTGTATTTATTAGCGAGCTCTCTGCCGGCTCCGTTGCGTTAATGGAGCTATTGGGTTGACAGGAGCCAGCTGCTGTCATGTGTAGGTTGAAAAAGTGATTATAGAGAGAGGTTTGGTGCTACAGCGCTCATCGCGACCCCCACATTACTTCCTGTTGGTTCAGTTACTGCCGCTTTCTGTGTGTGGGTGTTCTGCACGCTTGGTTCATTAGCCTACTTCTACAGTTGGATGTTTGTTGTAGTGACCCATTAGATTAATTCATGATATAATCGCAGTAGGGAAGCTTATAACTAATGCATTATTTAAGCTACCTGTGTGTTTGTCACAGTGTAGCATCATTCATCCATATGCCAATGATGGCAGGCTTTTTTTTAAATGGAGTTCCAGCAAACAATTTGTACTGATTTGTCACACATTAGAACTAGCAGAAAGGTTCAGACAACCCATCTGGGTCCATTTTCTTCCCCTCTACATGCCAAGTGGGAATCAATTTATATATGGTACCAAATCCCTGTCAGCTTCTCCTCCAGCTGCTTTAATAAACTGTCCGAAACTTTACTTCCACATACAAGAAGTGAGTCCCAGAAAACAAACACAGGAAGGTAAATGTATCTGTAATGTACAAGTACTTCCACTAGTAGCCCCAGGTGTGTTTGAGCAAACTCACCAGAAATACTCAATTAAAATACAAATACCTAAAGAAATTACTTGAATAAATGTAGTCATTTTCTGTATGTTTATTTTTTTTTATTTTCAATGGAAAATATATATATTTATAATACAAAAACCTTCCAGACAAGAACAGACACATAACATAATAACAAGACAAAACTAAATCCCTGACAAATGGTGAGCAGTAATAGTTACAACCAGTACTTATTCTGTCATATTAACCCTCATACTTATTACTCTTAACATTCCTCTGTCAAGTATATATTGCTATTGGGGACGAGTCCCTCATGAACTCATCAAGAGTACCTCTTAACCTCTTAATTTTCTAATATATATGTAATATGTATGTGGTTCTGTTATCAGTTTAATGGCCACTTTGGAACAAATGGCCTACAGCATCATCCCAAGAAACTGGTGAAACATCAGTGGACTAAACTATGAATGAGAAGCAGTTTGACGTCTTCTTCAGTCTTCACTGATGATTAATGATGCTCATGTATCCATGAAGAGTTCAACTCCTCTGCAGATGCTCTGGCTTTCCACTGGTGCTCATTTTTCATTTGACACCTCCCTACTCATTCATCATTCTCAGCGTTTCATGTTGAGATAAAAGGTGTGGTGTTTTCACTGTTATATCATGACTTGTTTGTCCTTGTTTCTGTCTGTGTGTTGAGCTCAGAGAAAGCAATATTACAGTTGTTCACTTTTTCAGATCCAAGAGGTTAGTTTCTTTATTACATAGGTGTTGTCATTACCTCTCTGCCCTACTATCCATGTCTCTGTTCATAATATGCTCCAGTACGTTCTCATCTCACGTTGTCCTTTTCACCTTCCTCCCAATTCATACCATGTCTCACATCTACTACAGTACATCTGCTAAAGTGCTCAACGCACTTACTCTCACAGGGTCATTCTGAAAGTGGGTACCGTATTGATTTTTCTCATCTGCGTGATGCCCTCCCGGTAGTATCTCTGGGACACTCATCCCAAAACATGGGGCTCATGGAGTCATCCTTGGACCTACACAGTGAAAGTGTTTCCTGTGAATCGAGGAGGCTGTCAAAGAGCGAGCAGCTCAGCCCACCTACACCATTAGGAAAATGAACCTGTTATACTTGATAACATGTTGAATAGCAGCTTCGCCACACATCGTTCGGCAAGAGCAAACTGAATTTTAAATGAATTCACCCATCCTGATGGAAGTGTTGTGTTGTTGTGCTGTCAGCCAAGAATAGAGCTGATTGTGTTATCCTGCATGGTTGTTTGAGTGTTCCTCTCTTGTCCTCCTGGTCGGTGAAATATCAGCTGGAACATTTCTGCACTTTGTTGGCTTTGCTTGCTCAGGTTGGAGAGAGATGGAACTTTATATGTTACCATCTGCCTGTATTCCTTATATTATTTCGGTTCCCACTATCAGTGCAAAATATATATTGCACAGAACCACTGGTGGAATTTAACAAGTACTTTGTACATGTTATGCAACTTTATAAGTTAAAGTCAAGTTACTTTTCATATTTTCAGTTTTTTGTCCTCTTCCGCTTAAAAAACACATTGGATTAGCTGGAAAATGCTGGAAACAGGGTGGTTTTTCATTAGTAAATTATGTATTAACCAATAATTGTTATATATTTAAACATACTATTAGTACCAGTTACATTTTTTAATGAATAACTTAGCTAACAGTTCAAGAAAACCAATCGTGCTTTATATTTCACATATTTCTATATTACTTGCTGACATTACATTAATCATTCTGATTTATTCAAACTGCACCTATGAGAAATTTCCATTATTAGACATAATTGAGGCACTAAAGCTGCTAATATGAGACCTAAGCTTACCTAATATAACCTTTTTTTATTTCCTCAATATTATCATCATCATTTTTAATTCACTGAGGGTTCAGAGCGGGACTTTGTTTGAATGCTCAGAGGCACTTCGGATAACTTAAGACATCCTGCTTGTTCTTTGTTCTTAGACAGAAACTTGAATTATGTGTTAGTACACTTGGCTGAATCACAAAGAAAAAAATTATTGTTGCGTTACAAAGTTTGAGAAGAAAAATCAATGAGAGCATTCTTCCATTTTCTAAATTCGGTTCTGCCACTGTAGGGAATGGAATTGCACTGTAATATCGTCATTGTGATCTTGTAATTTTGTTCCTGATCATTGTGAGATTTATGCTTTTGTGTTCTGTGCCCACACCAGGTTGGCTGCAAAGTCGTGATTGTGTTCTTCCAGTATTGTATAATGGCCAGCTTCTTCTGGCTGCTGGTGGAAGGCCTTTATCTTCACGCATTGTTGGCTGTCTCTTTCTTCTCCGAGAGGAAGTACTTCTGGGCTTACATCCTGATCGGCTGGGGTGAGAGTGTCTTCTTTTTATGCCTCTTCTGCTGTCCTAGGGTGATCTCAACTAAAGACGACCTGCAGGTTGTGTGACCCGTAATTTCTTTGGTGTGCACCTTTTTTTATGTTCCTAGGAGGTCCGATGGTTTTCATCACAGCTTGGAGCATTGCTAAAGCCTACTATAATGATGTGGGGTAAGAAAAACACCAGATTACTGCAGCTATCTAGGTCTGATTTTTCTTTGATTTGCAACATCTTGTACATGAACATGTTTCATGCTTCACCAGATGCTGGGATATAATCGAGAACACTGATGTGTTCTGGTGGATCATTAAAACCCCTATTTTGGCTTCAATCCTGGTAAGTTTACAAGCCTTAGGCTCTTTTTGATCACTCAAACCCCATTACATCAACATTAAAGTGTCATGCTTGAATCACCTTGAGCTGTCGACACTCTCAAGTCAGGCTTTTCCAAAGAAAAACTAATTGCCACTGAGAGAGAAAACATCTTTGTCAGTAATAATCAGTCCACCTCAGACTTAGGCTAAGGCTTTTGAACTCCACATTCTGTTTAGTATTCCTACTGTATGTCAACACATCTCAGCGGTTAATACGACCTCAAAGTTCTCACTTCACTTTGGAAAGTTTGCAGGATAATCACCATCGATTTGTTTTTCTTGACTGACAGGTCATCATCCACTTCATTTTTCAGCTTCTACATGCCTGTATCATCTTCCGTTTCCAGTTTGAAATGTTACTTGTTTCTATTTGTGTATAATGTATTGATTAGTGACTTAAGGTAATAAGTTTGAAAGCAGTTTCCCTCTGTTTCCAGTGTTCATGCTAAGCTCCTAAAGCAATAGTTCATTTTTAGAAATATGCATGTTTGCTGTCTTATGAGAAGAACTCATTTCTGTACAGTAAATATGAAGCAACAGTACAGCCAGCATTCAGTTAGCTTAGCTTGGCACAAAGACTGGAAAAAGTGGGTAACAGCTAGCCTGGCTCTGTCCTCTGTCTTGTTTATTGAATCCATTCAAGACATCTGTTATGTTTTGTTATGAGGATTATGTGACAACAAGCCTCCAAGACGTAAGCCTCGCTTTGGGGCAGAACCAGGTTAGCTGCCCCTGTTTCCAGTCTTTGTGCTAAGCTAAGCTAACAGCTGCTGGCTGTAACTTCATGTTTACAGTACGGAAAATGAGATTGGTATCAATCTTCTCATAATTTGCTGCAAAAGAGCCAAAGAATAAGAGAAAAAGCTAAGGTGTGAACTTTCACCTCACCTCACACATAGATTGAACCACTTATCTTGGAAGAAGAACAGACAGTGATCTGCGTTGGCAGAGCATTGGAGGGGTGTGAAAAGCAGGGTGAGGACGAGTTCAACCAGCATGACTCAAGAAACTAGTGGCGTATGTTAGGTGGTAAGAATAAAAAGAACAAAAAGAAAAAAGGAACTGAATCTCTGCCCCATATTTTGACACAGTTTATTCTGTGAATTCTTAATAGTTTCCTGAAACGACTATTGAATTTGGCACTAATTATAGGCCGTTGAGTTTTTGAGTCAGCTTTTGTTTTACGAAGAATTACTTTGACAGAACTACTTCAAGTAAATGTTTCCTCATGATTAATTTATTATTGAATGCTTTACTTTTCATATACAGTATTCCATATACATTTGGCTGCTCTCTGGTGGAGATTGTACTATTTCAACATTGTCTCCATTTCCCTTACAGTTAATACCAAATTATCCTACTCAGTCCTTTACTGGAACCTTCCTTTGAATTTAAATTTCTCTTTTAGGAAATAGTATCTGTATCCTCTGATGGAGGTCAGATAGATGGAAAGTGATAAATTGCATGGATCTACGTGTGTGGAAATCTTTTAGCTTGGACACCACCAAGATTTACCCGGATGGAGCGGTTGGTATCCAGCATAGAAAATCGTATTTAAAAAAAACTATACTAAACATGGGGATGCAGAAAACAGAGTTTTACAGATAACATCCCCCTCCTCTGTTGATGTCTGCTGAAGTCCCGCATTGTCGGCCTTTGCTTGGCAGCGGGTCTTGGCACAGCAGGTTTAGTTGTGTTCTTTCACGTTAGGATCAGGATCAGCAGCCTGGCTGTCACATCCCTCTGTCTCTTTCCCTCTGCAGCAGCTGAGTGATGTTTGTGAGTGCATCATGATGTGTGTGATGTGTTGCTGGTTCAGAGGTCCAACACAAATTAACAATTTAGAAAATGCTCATTTTCCCACAGGGCAGCACCACAATCCAATCAGAGCAAGATCAAATACAGCATCAAGCTTCTGTTACGAGAAGAATTTCATTCCTCTACATCCATTAGATAAAACAATGAAAACATGTTGAAGGGACTTTAAAATTAGATTTTTTTCATCTTTTATGTTGGAAAGATATTTCTAATTTATAATGTCATTAACCCCATCACGAAAGCTCATTTACATTGTAAAACACCCTTAAACTGTCCTCATATTTTCCACAGATGAACTTTATTCTTTTCATCTGCATCATACGAATACTTCGCCAGAAAATCAATTGCCCAGATATTGGAAGAAATGAGTCCAACCAGTACTCGTGAGTATAATTTCTTATCTTTTACATGATGTAAATTTCTATTATTCATTAGCTCAGATCAGATGAAATATTATCGAATCCCTATGAAATCACCACCACTTCTTTCTTGCTTAATTCCAGTCCACATTCTCTGAAAGTTAACTTCATGTACAAATGTAAACACAGATTATCTCAAATAAACATATTTGTCCTGTGGGTAAAACTAGTGCTGTGGAAATTATTGTTTTTTCCTGTGGCTCCTTTTCAATTCCTCTGAGAAATTTTAACTTCCTTGCTTAGAGCAATGCAGGGACGACCAATCGTTTTTTCGACTCCAAAAGAGAAACTCGTGGCACAGTCAGTCTTCCCCTGGCAGCTGCTTTACACAGAGATGTAGAGCTCTGTGTGTGATGTTTTTTTTCCCTATGATAGAGAGCATCTCATAAGCCCACCATAATGCATGAGCTATTTTTCCACTGACACTTTTAATGGTGTTTTTTTCCCCCCATCTCTGGTCCTCTGAGCTGAAATGTAAAATGAAAACTACTCCGCAGTTGCATTTCATTATTGGCATATATAGAGACAGATTGAAAATTGGTTTCAATGGAGGGAGACATTTGAATCTATTTTTGCTTTGTCGTTCCAGGAGACTTGCAAAATCTACGCTGCTTTTGATTCCACTGTTTGGGATCAATTTCATCGTGTTTGCATTCATCCCAGAGCAAGTGAAGACTGAACTACGGCTAGTTTTTGACTTGATTCTGGGGTCATTTCAGGTATGATGATGTCAACTCTTAAGGAAGGCCTGATTATAAAAAAACACTTCACTACACTCAAGATTTTGCATTTGATGCCTTGTTGATTGTTTCCAGAAGGGCAACCAATTTTTAAACAGGTTTTAATTGAATTTTTAAATTGAAGTTCATTCAAGGTCCGAAGTAATGATTTGGCATCCTGTCAGCCATGACTTGCGATCATCTTCTATTGAAGAAACCCTCGCAGAAAACTGTGGCAGGTCTCCAGGCACTTTGCTGGAGAGTGGCAGTGTTACCGTTTTTAAACCCCGGAGTTATTTCAGTTCATCACATAATGAGGAATGATAGAGAATGCAGCCAGACAGCACAGCTGCATTACAGACCGCTTGGAAACCAAAGAAACCTTTCCAGCACATTCCTCCCATCATTCTTCTTGTACTTCTTCTTAATTATTACTATAAACCAGCCTGTATGCACTATGCATTGTTGTTGTCAATGTAATCTATTGATATGTTTCATATATGAGCAAATATGACATTTCACCGCAATACACAGTGTTATTGCTCTCTTATCTGTCTTTTTCTTTCCATTTAGGGCTTTGTGGTCGCCGTCCTTTACTGTTTCCTCAATGGAGAGGTAGGTAACCTTCCTCACAGTAATGTAAACACCAGACACACTGTTTAAACCTTGAGATTTTCACGCAGAGGTAGCCCACGGTGCCAGGGCAATTTTTAGAAAATGAAGTCTATCTGTAGTGTTTCTGTGGCTCCCTTGGTGCGCCACTTACATTCACACACACACACACA